TGATCCTCAGTTTGCCCCTATAATTCCTACTGTTTCCCTGAAAATAAGACTGGGTCTTATTTTCTTTTGACCCCCGAAATAAGCACTTGGCCTTAGTTTCGAGGAGGGCTTATTATTTTTGAGGTGCAGGAGGTGGTGAGTGGGATCACCTCATGGCTGCTGCTGTGTAGCAATATTTTCGGGGAGAGCTTATTATTAGAGGAAGGCTTATTTTAGCACATGCGCTCAAAACCCGATTGGACTTATTATCCAGGGAGGTCTTATTTTGGGGAAAACAGGGTAAAATGACATAGTTACACACTTGGAAGTAGACACCAGTCAGAGGGAGGCTGGACTGATAAAACTTTCCTTGACCCATAGACAGTCTGGATATAATTCTGAATGTAGCAGCAAATAAGCCACATGAAGCCTTGAGAATGTGTTGGCAGTAGAGAGCCAGGATAAACCCCAGATCCCCCCAGGGCAGTGTTTGTCGCTTTGGCAACTTGGTGTGGCCAACTGCAGAGAAAAGTTAATTGCTACTAACCTCCATCCAGTACTTTCAGAAATCCCCATGGTTCTCGAAGTTCTGCTGATTATGTATCAATTGTAATAATGGCTTAAAGGTAGTATTCCACAGCAGCAAATCCTGGAAAGATTTTCCAAGTGCAAAGTATTTTTACTCATTAGGAGGACACACCAATACCAAACTGGGTATTGTTTTTCCGCATCCAGTCCCTGTTCTCCACAATAGATTTTCCTTCCCACATTCTTTGGCCTCTTCTTCCCATAAACAGGCTTTTCATGACAGCCATTGCATATTTAAGACGGCTGACATATTTGCTACAATGAAAACCCAGCAGCTTTGGTTGGTTTCCTGGTGTTCAGGAAATCTTCCCATGGCTTATAGTACTTTTGGTTTTGTTTCTTTCAAGCTAAGGCATCTTTAAATAACTCTCGATGCTTGCTTCCTAGGTGCTTCAACAGTTTTGTTTGTTGAAAGTGGGGAAACATTTGTCAGCCATTGAATATTTTCTGAAACATTTAGCAAGGAACTCAAGCAGCTTTTCAGGGAGTCACATCATTTTCTTGAGATATATTGTTGATAGGAATGACTCACTCTTCCAAATTAGATGCAATTAAGAAGCTGAAAAGTTCCTATAAAAGCCTGGCACCAAACCCACTATTTTTGGAGACAATTAAAAAAATCAAGACACAGATGCATAATCAAAATGGTTTTAGGGAATGTCTCTCTCTCTCTCTCTCCAGCTGTGATGTTAGTACTGCTGAGAAGAATGCTGAAGACTTCTGTCACTTCTATCTATGCCTCCTATTCATATTGTAATTTTGGGCACCACACTCATCTCTGCGTAACCTTTTCACCTGTAGTTAAGCCAAACATTTCTGGGAATTGAATAAATAGAGGGTAAGGGCAAAAGCATTCCTTTACTATTTGTCCTCCTCAACTTTAGACCTTGAATAAAGAACTATCCTAGCAACTGGGAGCAGTTACCATAGGTGGTAACCGTTGACTTACTAGAGATAACTCATTTCTTTCAAAGCCTCCTTTCTAGAATGCATTTTATGAGCTATAAATTAGCCAACCACTTTTTAAGCTAGTCCATTTGTGTGACTGTTGAGTATGTGCCAAATGTACAGTTCAGGGCAAACCCAGAGAATTGTGTTAATTTAATAAACAGTAGTTAACTCTGAGTAAACATATTGTGCCAACACAGCCAAGAAAAGCTTCTTTTTTTTCTCCCCACTTATTTTACCTTTCCAAGTAAAGAGCCTTCTGATTAAAGGGGTGGAGCCAGAAAAAGGAGTGTTAAATCCTGGATGTGTGATTCAGAAGCTGAGCCTTTTTTTACTTTGACATACTGCAGCTAGGACCTGCCAGGCAGCCATTCATGCATAAAATAGTGTTGTAACCAGAACAAGGCCACCTCATAAATGGTGAGCTATAGAGCAGCCCTGAAATAGAGGCTTGAAGGTCATTGTGATCCAAGCCGAGAGGAATTTACAACAGTAATAATTCTTAGAGGGAAGCTGGTTCAGCTGGGAGAGAACTGTACAGGCCAAGAATTTGGTTTACACTATGAAAACACTCATTTAGATCTGATTGCCCCGTAATCTGGCGGAAGGAAAGATGCCAATGGCAGGCCTATCAGAAAATAGACCAAAATGTTTACCAAGGTAACAAGGCAGCTCCTGCAATTCTCTCCCCACCCGCCCTTCCTCTAGCCTGTCCCAAGGACTAAGAGAGGTCAGAGCAGAGCACTCCGGCCATCTAAATAATTAATGGAGGTGCGGTTTGCTCAGGCTGCCATTTCCGGGAATGGCAGAAAAATTGCTGCCAGTACGAAAGGCTATCTGGCTGAAGGATGTATCTCCTGAACTTGGCATGACCTCCAGTCCACCGTGTATTAATCGAGGGACTCTATAAAAGTTTGTTAGGGCTGATGATGTGTTTTGAAAACAATGTCACGCTTCACAAGACATTATGGTTGTTTCATGTCTCCTGCTTGAGAAACACCTCGAGCATAATAACAAACTTTATGGAGCATTTCAGCAAATAGATGACGTAGCAGGTTTTTAAAGACTTTTTTTTTAAAAAGCTCACAATGCTAGATGGACTGGTTTTTTTAAAAAAAACTAAATCATTTTTGACAAAACACAATATAGCTGTAGTTAGAACACTGGCTCTGTGGATACTGTTCAACACTATTGACACTATGCCTATAAAAGTGCAAGAGCAAAAATATTTCTTGGAGGATGTTGATATACATCATATATTCACAAATTTTGCTCACCATTCCAAAGGACAACTACAATTATTTCAGAAAGAGGTCTACTGCTACTCCTAAAAAGGGTATGGCTAGCTGATGAGAGCTAAATAGCTTGAAATAGATCAATACTAGTCTCCCTTAATTTATTTATCAGCACAAATACAACATGTGTGTGTGTGTGTGTGTGTGTGTGTGTGTGTGTGTGTGTGTGTATATGTATGTATGTATGTATATAGAGAGGGTGGGAGGGAGGGAGATAAGAATGCACTGATGTTACCTATAGTTTGATAATGAAATGTTTGCAAGAAAACAACCAAGCTCAGAGAACAGTAAGGACTCCACTAAAAAGGAAAAAAATATCTTTATTCAGAAAATATCTTTATTCATAAATATCTTTATTCATTCACTATTTCTGCACTGGCACCCCACCTCCATGTTGGTAGAAGAGCAAAAAACAAGCCATCGCTAATTTTTTATTGGCTAGACTAATTAATGCAGCTAGCTGAGTAGCAGTCTAAGGATGAAGCTGGAACACACCCCAACGTCAACCACCACAAAGTACAATGTCAAAGTATATTGTACTTCCATAAGAAATAGTGACATAACCAGAAGGTGCCTAGAAGAGCCTGCTGAATCAGACCAATGGGCTATCTAATCCAGTATTCTTTGCCACACAATGCCCAAGTAGATAGTGTAACTTCTTGGTTATTCTTTAGTAGCTGGTATTTAAAATAAGCTGCTTGTATTTTGAAGATAACAACAGTCGTAAAGACAGGTAACACATCTTCAGTTTTAGCAAGAAACAGGTAGCCAGCTCTTGATCACTGGACTCCTACATAATGAAAGATTCTCCTGCTTGTAGATAGGTTGAAATGCTATCAGCACACAGAAAATAGGGTCTTGCTATTTTATTTCTAGAATTCCATAACATCTGGTACAAAGCGTCCATGGATATTCTCAATTCTCCAGGTCATAGTTGTCCCAAAGGTGCTCATCAAAAGGCAACTGGACTTTCTTGGGGGTTTTTTTCCCTTGAAAACATTTCATTCTTTAGATCTGATTCTTAGGTGAGAAGTGAAACATTTTCAAAGGGAAAAAAAACAAACCAAAAGTCAAGTTGCATTTTGAAAAGTACCTTTGGGATATCTGGTATAAAGATGAGGGGACTCTCATCCAATAATGCTGAGATGAAATCATGGCCACAAGAAACAATATTTCTGCATGGTGGAAAAAAAGAGAGCATGTTGGAGTGAATGTTTATTGCTCCAAAATGTACTACAGTTAATATTATTAGTATAAATACTTAGGCAGATTACTTGTCTTTTAAGGCAACCTTTAAAAAAAAGTTAAAAAGAAAAGAACAAGAGCAAAACAAGAACCCTGCCCAGAATGGAACAGAATGTTATGTTCCATACGTTGTCCAGAAAATAAATTCCGTGTCAAATAAAACAATCTGAGTTTTCAAATCATAGAATAATCAAGTTCTGGGAAGTCCAAATCCTTCCTATTAATCAGCTGAATCCATCAGTTAGGAAATGCACAGAAGAGAAATATTTGTAATTTTTGCCCTTTCTCTTTGTCAACTCTTCTTCCTTTATTCTCAAACCCACAAAAGCATATGACAAAACAAGAAGTCAGAAGCCACTTTTAGGGGAAAAAAGAGATTTAATTTGTCAGACAATTCTGAATTTTATAAAAGCCATATCTGATAAGAACCACTTCCCCAATCCCAGCTTAAAGGGTAGCGTGGATGAAACAGCAGTCTGGGACATTCCTCCTTAGTCTTCTGCCATTTACTCAGCTTGCATTAGCAGAGGGAGATTACATCATTCTTCATTATCAGAGCAGAGAATCTTTCAGCCAAAAACTAGAAGCAGACTCATCCTCTAGCAAGGTACAGAAAAGCATCGTCAGCAAGACGGGCAGAAATCATGACTCAATGCAAGTCTCTATCAGACTAGCCATGGTCTGTGTCAGTATAAACTTGTTCCTTCCACTTCCTGAGCACAGGCTCTGCAGGCAGGGTATGGTCCTTCTATAGACAGTAGAGAACTCCTTTCCAATCAGAAGACGGCCCAAAGAACATCCGTCACTGTCCCCGCACATTTGAAGGCTCCTTGTTTGGAAAAGTCTGGAAAAGAATTTACCTGCTCAAAATACTTACACAGCAGGCTAAACTTCAGTGGACATCAGTCTAGGAGGCCAGAAGAAGACTGAATGAAAAGGCATTGCAAGAAACAGGCAGTGCTTCTTTTTTATCAAGGTAGCTTCCTTCTCCTGCTAGCATATGAAAGAGAAACAGCACCCCTTTTCTGCCCAAGAGAGGGGAAAAGAGACAAAGAGAAAAATGGCACACAACAGCAGCATAAGGACAGGCAGGCCATAAGCCAGGAACTAGCACACCAAGGCATGAAGAGAAAGTGCGATACCATGAAAAGGACTGAAGGCATATCAAATAAATGTATTGAGGCATAAGACTGTGCATCTCAGAACTCATTTAATCAGTGGTGGCTGGGAGACAAGTCCACGTAGGGAAAAGTTGTTGTTTCAGAGTAAACCGAGAACCTGAACAATTCTGCAAGGAGCAGCACAAAAAAGGATGATAAAGGATAAGTCAGCACAATAAAGCATCCTAAATGGAGGTGACTCATCCTCACCTGGTGAGGACGAGGTAAAGTAAGATGATTAATGCCAAAAAGAGACAATTACATTTCTGTAGGGAAACTGCCACTCCCAGATGTTTTTAAGCCTGACAGCATCCATTCCGTAGCAAAATTCCATTTCAGCAGCACACAATCATTTAAAACTTGGAATAGTTTGTGCAGTTACAGGGCACCACCCATCTCTTGCCTTGTGGAGCCCTCTGGCCTCTCCTTGCCATTAAATTCCTTCACTTTCCCTTCATAGATCTGCATTTCCACCCCCTAATCTGGGCCCACCAGTTTATCTTGCGCTCCCACTTTGGTTGGGATGATAGTCCGTAGTCCTTCAGATTGAGAGAAGATTAAGTTAAGGAGGGCTTATCCATATTGAAAGCACAACCGCCAATGCACCTTTTTGACAAAACAGTACTGATGGCAGTCTTGCAAATCCCACCATATTTATGTTGTCATGAAATGAAAGTATCATTTTAATATAGCTTCCTCCTTTCATGTCCACTGGTGCCTCCAACATGTTCAATCACCAAGTTGGTTGCAAACGTCAGATAAGAATGTTTAAAACTCTGACCACAATGTAAAGTAGATCCTCCCTGCTGCATAAACATAGACATTCAAAGTAAAACATCTAGCATTTTTAAAAATACACACATATATATATATATGCAGACTTAATTTTCATAACAGGGAGGGATTAACAGAAGAGGAAATAATAAGGATTCCAAAAACAATACCATGATGTCACATTCCAGGGCTTGGTCCAAAATCAGGAGAAAGCAAAGCAGGCTTCCAATAAAGAGGTTCTTGCTACATTTGACCAGTTTCACTCTCTCCGTTAAGAAAAATGGCCTCTATTAAAGAATAATTGGGGTGATACCCTTCTAATTTCCAAAAAACCCTCTCTCTTGTGGGAGTAGATATGCGATGGGAGGATGCAGGAAGCATCTATTCCCCCAACAAGAGGCTGAATTGTGATCTGTAGATTGGAACTCCTCAGCATTCATAACACCATTGTGGCCCCATCATTGGTGGAGTGAAAATAAGGGAGACTCTCAAAATACTGGCAAAACAGAGGTGGAATTATAAATTTGACTGAAGGCTCCAAGGAGAATAGAAGGCCCACTGTTCGGAACACATAACAGGAGGTGGCATCCTGACCCAGTGACCCAGATTTACTGTAACAGATGTCAAGTAGAACGCTTGGTTTATGCATGAGAAAAAGAAATGCATTGCCTCAGCAACCAAGAGGAAATTTTCTCAGTTCCCAGGATAACATCGCCATTCTCCATGTCTATCTGAGGCCTTGCCCCAGTTAGATGCTCCTTTGTGGAGGCAGGCTTTTGTAAGGCATCCTCAAGTAACAGGATGTGCGGAGATCAAGACTCAAAACTTCTACCATCTGTGCTTGCTATATGGAGACGAAGCCTAAGGCAAAACAAGACATTAAAAAGTTAGGTCCTTTACATTAGGAATGTAACTGGGAAAGAGACAGACTGGTCTATTTTACCCACAGCAAATATAAGCAGAAAGGTCAGATAAGAATTCAGTTGGTCCTAAGATTACAACAGAATAATCCAAGGCTTACCATTTCGCTCACTTGCCCATTCCTTCCATCTTTCTGAGCCAATGCTTGCTTACTCTGTGAAACATAAGCATCATCGGCACGCAGGGTAGAATTGGCACTGCCCATCATTTGGCTGTTGGCCGTAGCACGAGGGAGGATGACATCATAAGGGGCATCCAACTGGAACCCACAAAAATAGTAAATAGTAAAAATGGGGTAAAAAGTATAATCCTGTTGTTGTTGTTTTTTGAAATGTGACTATAATTGCAAAAGAAACCAAACCAGCATTAAGTCAAAATATTTTAAGGCAATAAAAAGGCTTTCACAGACTTATATTCTCAATAAAGGAGAATATTTGTAGCTCAGGGTTGAAATGAGGGCTCTTCGGTGCTCTCTGAGCTTGGCTGTTTTCTTGCAAACATTTCATTATCCAAACTAGGTAACAGCATCAGTTGACTATGCTTATCTCATTTAAGTAATGAAACATTTCCAAAAATCTACCAAGCTCAGAGAACACCAAAGAACCCCTCACTTATATTTTCTCATTTCCTAACACGGTTACACCTAACCCTAACCCTAACCCACAACTGAAGGCTTCAAACCTTTCCTGAACCCTTAAGCTTCTTGATTCTTTAATTGAACAAGTTAAAAACTAAAATAACAGCTGCCCAGAAAACTGCCGGAGAAGGCCAGGCTCTCTCATAAAACACCTAAGGCACTAAATTAATGTAGGGAACATAACTCAGGTGAGAATAACTGTAATTGAACAAATATTCACAACTTAAGCAATAGCTGAGCTAAAATTCTCCTACTTGGGAAAATAGAGATCAAGGGAATTTGCCATCTCATATCCTTCTGTGTTTGAGAAGTAGGCCTTACACAGTTGTAATCACAGTTTTTGTTTGTTTATTTTGTTATATAGCAGTAGACTTATATACCGCTTCATAGGCCTTTCAGGCCTCTCTAAGCGGTTTACAGAGAGTCAGCATATTGCCCCCAACAATCTGGGTCCTCATTTTACCCACCTCGGAAGGATGGAAGGCTGAGTCAACCCTGAGCCGGTGAGATTTGAACCGCTGAACTGCTGATCTAGCAGTAGCCTGCAGTGCTGCATTTAACCACTGCGCCACCTTGGCTCTTAAAACATATGATGTTTTTCTTTCCTTAAGTATCTGTATATGGTACATTGTTCATTTTAATCTTATTTGCATTATTTTTTTCTTTGAAAATGAAATAAAAACTATACAAAAAATCAGATAAAAAAATGAAAGCAATGAATTTGTTATTTTACACATTTTTTTAAAATGTTTATGCAGAAACATCCATGAAACTATCCATCTTTATTTACAGACTATACCCTCAAATTACTCCTGCTTGTGATGAGCCCTTTCCAACTTATACCTGACATTATTTTTGGATTTAATATCTCAGACAAGCCTTCACTTTTCTGGTCAAGCATAGCCACTTCTTCTAACATTTTATAGACATGGTTTATTTGTTTTAAGCCCACTACCAAAAAAATTAAGCTACAGTCAAGCAAGATGAGAAAGAGAAGCAGCTGCCAGCACAACTGCACATTCACTTACAGGCCCGCTGTGCATTAAAGTCATCTCTGTGGGCTGATAGACGCTTGTCAGAAGCTGCCCATTGTATCCGCTGTATGGAGACACAGGCTTTTTAGCTAGAAAGAGAGAAACCACAGGACAATAACATTTAAATACACTATTCCAAACTTTTTCACGAGCAAAACTAGATAGCATGGTTTGAATGGCAAGCTCTAGAGCAGTGTTTCTCAACCTTGGCAACTTGAAGATGTCCGGACTTCAACTCCCAGAATTCGCTGGCTGGGGAATTCTGAGAGTTGAAGTCCGGACATCTTCAAGTTGCAAAGGTTGAGAAACACTGCTCTAGAGAGAAGAATGCTGGTCAATAACTTATATAAGACAATTTGGTATCTAAATATAAAATTATGTTGATTTTCTCGGAATGGGACAATTTGATACGGTCAATTCACTGCAGCCAGCTCACCACGCCATCTCATCTCAGGACAATTCACTGTGGGACAACTTGCTGCCGGACAATTCAGCAATTCAATTTTAAGCACTTAAAAAATAATTTAGAAATTATTTTAATTTCGGTCATTCGCACTTTATTTTGTCTATCCTTCTGCATCCTCTTTTTAATGATTTCCACCATTTCTTCAATATTAATGTAAGTCTTGTCCCACGGCAAGTTGACTGTGGTGAGTTGCTGTGTGCTGAGTTGTCCTAAACCCAATTTTCTAGCACAGCCTCATTAGAAAAAGCTTCCCCCTGAGACTGTAGGGTTTCATGTGAAATAAGAGAAAGATTATATTTAAAGCAATTTGGGGGCCAAAATCTCAACAACTGTTTACAGACTCCCACCATTTTTGGCATTTTTTTTTTTTTTTGCTGGCTTCCCATGTTTACTTCTGGTTTCTGAAAAAGAATGCCCATTAGGGAAAAGGAGCTCATTTAATGACTACTGTATTTGTTTAACAACTGTGGCATTTGCTTAATGACCATGGCATTTGTTTAACAACTTTAAAAAGGTTGTAAAATTGAATGCAATCACAGGGTGCCCCAACTTCACAAACAGCCATGACTTATGATCGTAATTCCAGGCTCAATCACAACTGTAAGTCAAGGACTACCTATATAGGTATATTACAATCTTAGCATACTGGGTTTATGTGTCCAGCTACTTTTATAACTCCAGAAGCAAGGAAAGATAAAAATAGAAAAAGAGAGCAAGGTAGACCCTAGCAAATAAAGTCACAAATTTGTATAGAAGTGTATACTTTTTTAAAAAAAAAAGTGAAACTCTTACGGCTCTTCCCCAAATTAATGGCATCCTTTCTTAGAAGTACACCTGTATAAATACACATCTATGATTCTTTCCAGTGAGTTACTGTTGCTTATTAGCATCGTCTGATCAATGCAGTCCAATGAAAAAGCCATCAAAAAGCTACTGGGACTTTTGTTTCATAAGCCGCCCATAAAACAAATTCTTGTTTGCAGGTAACAATAAGCAAAGTAAGTTTTAATGAGCCCAAGGTGCTTGGAGACTTTCTCTGAACAAGAAAATCCATCTGGATTTATGGCACTCAAGAGACAACGTCGGTTGCATTAATGCTCTGAGGTTCAGCTCTCTCTATAGCACTGGCAATATGGCTGATGTAATCAGTAAGCCAATGACAATAAACCATAATTTCAAACTGACGCATGGGCCTAAAATAAATCTTGCTTATTATATTGAGTCCATTTGTACAGTATACGATACATAATCAACAGGTTCAGTCCTGCATTGCATCAGATCTTAGCCGGTTTCTCTTCAAATCATATAAAATAAAAAGATGAACTCAGCTACTGGATGTGCTATTCTAAATTGATTTTACCTTAGCTGAAAATAGTTCTAATGTGATATCTTGGTTTTTATTTATAGTACAGTGTTTCTATCTTTCTCAGCCGGCAGAGTTTCTGGCCATTTCCAAACAGAGGGTATGAGCCTAGAAATCTCGTAAACACACAATAAATTTACTTATCACTTATCACTGTATAAACTTAGATATAAACTCTACTAGATTTACTTCCTCCCAATAAAATGTATCCGTAAAACTTTTATTATTTTATTCTACATGTAAATTTTAGGACAGAAGACCAAATTATAGAGCAGCTCAGATTTAGCAAACCTGTCTGAATTTTGATCCTATGAAAAAATATCGTTGTATCTACTGAGCTACAGAGTTAGAAAATTCAACTACAAAATTAGAGGAGACAAAAGAATTGTTATAAGATCATAGAATAGAATTAGATGGCACGAATGTTATGTAACCTCCCTGCTCCCAAAGTGTGCCACAATGACAGTACCATTCTTGTACAGATTACTAGATATCCAGCACTCCTGGGAATCTACAAATTAAAGCAACCATCACAGCACACCCTGAGATAGGAAGTTGGATGAACTTGATTCGCTATCATCAACAGATGCATCAATTTTTCTGGACTTCTCCAGCTTGGCCACAGATACCGATGACTAGGATACCCACCCATAGGCAACATAGTGCTAGAAGAGGCGGAGGGGAGAAACACAGCAAATAATTTTTCAGGACAGTTAGTCCTTGACTTACAACCATTTCTTTAGAAACCGTTCAAAGTTACAACAGGACTGAAAAAAGTGACGCACGACCACCCCTCAAACTTATGACTGTTGCAGTACCCTATAATTACTTAATGGAAATGCAGATTCTTGGCATGTGTCATGTATTTAAGACGGTTCCAGACACCCCTCAAATCCACCCACCTGAGTCCTAGGATTGCCATTTGCAACCTTCCTGATTGGGTTCCAATAAACCCAACTAATTAACTAATGGGGAAAGTCAGATTTATTTAACCACGATTCCTTTAACAACTGTGGCAAAAAGGGCCACAAAATTGGGCACAACTCAATTAACAACGGCTTCACTTAACAATGGAAATGCTGGCCCCCATTGTGGTTGTAAGTCAAGGACTACCATAATCATTTTCATGTCTACATAAAAACATGTTAAGCTATGTTTAGCAAGCATAAACCTGCATGCAGTTCCTCTGATTACACTCCCCCTCCCCAGTCTCCTCACCAATGCCTACCTGAAGAAGGTTCATCCATTGAGAAAGCTTTGTTCTCCACGAACATACTTTGGGATTTCTGCTCCTTGAGGATTGTTTCATAACCAACCCCCCGTGTGGGGTAGACATCATCCTCATAGGCCTCCTCTGGTCCTGGCTTGACCACCTGAGAAATCTCAGGAATGACATAAAACAAAACAAAAACTGAGGCATTGGAGACAAGAGCAATAGCCAAGGTGGGGTCATCCCAGGTTGATCTCTGGTCCTGCTGGTTGCCATACACATACATAACAATCCATACTATCCAGATGGCCATCGAAAAGGAAGTAGTGAGGAGAATGAAAATGGCATGCTTTCTCCAATGCTTGTAATGGCCACACAAGACAGGCCAAGTAGCAATGAAAGTAGCTACTTGCAAGAACATTACGTAGATGAGTGCCATGACAAAGTCCTCGTTCTTCAGTTCACAAGGATCCTTGGCAGTACCATCATTCCTCACCACAGTAATAATGAGCCACTCAACGTTGATGATGACTTCAACCAAGACGAGGACAAAAGCCATGCCAAAGGTGACCCATCCCCGAGGTCCAGTGTTTTGCCGGGCAAAGAAATTGAGACTGAGGCTATGGGCAGCCAGGCAGGAGAAGCAGATTGCAAAGAGGACACCAAAGAGGAAGCGTCGTGAAACACATGTTGAGAAGTCTTGCTTGACAATGAAGGCAAAGGTCAAGCAGAAAAGCCCCAAAGTGCCCAACAGAAAGAAAGCTTGAGTCCCTATTAAGCTCTTCTTCCGGTAGTCTTGGATAAAAGGCAGACTGGCCACTAAGACCACAGTGAGGACAAAGCTGGTGACAACACCAAAGCTGGCCACGGCTTCTAAGACAACACCCCAGGCGACAGATAGGTCACAGAGGTTGTAGTAGATGGAGTTCAAGTCCTTGCCACATCCAGGCGGTGGGGATGGTGGTGGTGAAGTCCCTTGAGCTAAACATGTCGTCATGGAAAGCACAAGAAGCCAAAGACATGGCAATTGTGTCCTGGATGTAGCCATCACGATGGAATGATGGCAAATATTCTTGGCTCTTCAGGAAAGAACTAGAAAATAAAGGGAAAGAAAAGATAGTTACTGTATGAAAATGCCGATTATTTTTAGTATTTTTCTTCTCCAGACATATCCAATATATTTGCAACCAAGAGTCATTACTTGGCCTTTGGATCATCTATCAAGAATCACACCAAATTGGACACAACCAAGACAAAGTAGGGCTTATTACACCTGAATAAAATAAATACTGTCCAAATGAATATTTTTCCCTATTTAATACCTTACTCCTTGTATCATATTAAACATTACAATATGATGTAGAAGGGTTATGTAGCCAGAATTCTGAAGGCCCATACAAAGCCTTGAGACCTCTCTAACTCCATTCTAGTCATGAACATGTTAGCTAGGTCTCTTTGGTTCACTACTTCGGTTCCACCACAAAACCGCGTTCGACTAAAGCGCGCTCAACGAAACCGCGTAGCTGACGTCATCACAGGGCGACAACAGCGCGGAGACAGAAACACGCTGTAAACGCTAAACCTAAAATTAACCCCTAAACCTAAACCTAACCTTTAACCTAACCCTAAACCTAATCCTAACCCTTAACCTAACCCTAACCCTAACCCTAACCCTTAACCTAACCCTAACCCTAACCCTAACCCGAACCCTTA